GTTTATTGCTAGACATATAAAATGAAATTATTTGTTATTTTTCAGTAAAACCATAACAATAATTACTAAAAATGCTTTTTATTTTTAAGAAAATGAAGTTCTATCAAATTCGTTTTATCAATAATTGATTTTAAAAGTCTTTTCTTAATCATTGAGAAAACAAAATGTTGATTCTAACAAAAACTGTCATTTTACATTATGTGATAGATATTTAATGGTCAGTGTATTTTCAAATCCAAATATAGATAGAGATGATGAAAAATATAAAATACAATAGTATTTTTCTGAATATTAATTCTAGTCACACGAAAGGGAGCTTGGTAGGTCCGTTTTCGTACTGTGTCATCTTTGACCAACACATGAGAAGTAGTCGGTAGGTCCTGATGGATGAATAATTTGCGAGAATATGTTTTATGGAGAGCTATCGGTCTACACTGATGAAGTGTTGACCTTAGCTTCGTAATAAACGATGGTTTGTTATTGCTGGTTTCTTTGGTGGATTCCAGAAATTTTCCAGGAAGGCGGATGTTTTCACCATAGAGTTCAGCAGTAGAATATCCATTTTCGGAGACTACTGTTCTTGAGCCTAACAAAACAATAGGTAACGCCGCAACCCAATTAGCAGAATTGTGACATTTAAGGGCTTTCTCTAAGGAACGGTGCCATCTCTCAATTTCGCCGTTTGGTTGTGAGTGAAAAGCTGTGGTTCTAAAGGGCTACGCGCCAAGCAATTGTCTGATTCTCGAAATACATTCTATTCGAACTGCAAACCTCTGTCAGTGGTAACGCTGGTTGGTAGACTATATCGTTAAATCCAGTTACTAAAGAAAACTTTAGCGACGGTTTCCGCTGTGATATCTTCAATAGGTATTGACCTTGTGAAACACAAAAGGTCCATGTGAACTTGATCAAATCTCTTACCAATGCGGAAACTGCCCTAATGGACTACGAGGATACATACTAGTTTTGAAAAGTTGACAACTGGTACATTCTTTGAACCACTGACGAATATCTTTATCAACTGAAAGCCAAATAAAACGATCTTTAAACATTTTGGCAGTTCTTTTGGGAAAGGTTTGAGATAGATTATGAATCAGATTAAAAACTGATCGACGATTAGCTCCAGGAACAAATGAGCAATTTCTGCCATCACAGTAAAGCATAATTCCAAGTCCAGGGACTACTTTTTGCATAAGTTTTATAGAAAAGTTGTCAGTATTTTGCAAAATTTCTTGTAATTCTGTATAAATAGCTTTCTGGTTAGCTACGTCAGCGAAGTCGAAAATTCCTCAAGTCGTGATAAATAGTCAGCAATTACATCCTCATTAGCAGGAACTTGTCTAATGTCCGTGGTGAACTGGGGTACAAAATTCAGATGCCTCAATTGCCTTGGTGACGCTTTGTTAGATTTTTGGGCAAAGGCGTAAACAAGAGGTTTGTGATCTGTATAAACCACAATTTGGCAATCATCTATAAGCTATCGGAAATGCTTAATGGCTGGATAAATAGCTAACATTTCTCGATCGTACGTACTGTAGCCAGATCAGTGGCACTTAATTTTCGAGAAAAGAACGCCAGTGGTTGATGTGCGTTATCATATGATTCCTGTAACACACCGCCAGTGGCATCTACGTGTAGTACGAGAGGTAAATCTAGATGAAGGTGGTTGAGTAAAGTGGTCTCTCTCAGACAGTTTTTTCAAGCGTCAGTTAGCTCTGCAGTCAATTGAATCTGATTATTCTCTTTGATCTCGTACATTCAATGCTTTGTTCAGGATAACAATTTATATAAAATTGTCTAATTATTTTATGATTGATCAAATTATTTTATATAATATAATACCTAAAGAACCTTCGCCCTTTCCATCAATTTTGTGCAGAGAGAATAATGCATTCAATATTAAAATTTCCCTTTTTTTTTTTTATATGGTCCAACTTCGGAACAAAATAAAGGAAATAGAAATTCATTTTTTTATAAGTGAAATATGTGTTTTACTAAACACACCCGGCAAATATTCATTATATGTAGTTCAGATTAGGTACATAATATTTTGGTTTATAAAACAGGTATTAATATGACTCATTTCCGAGGAAGTATATACAACTTAAATTACCTCAAAGAATGAGTAAATATAATAAATAAACGAAGTGTTAAATTTAAATGTAAATTAAAGGAAATAATAAGAATAAGATTATTTTTAATAAGGAATTTGAGATTGAGTCTTTTTTTTCTTTTATATATATATTTCCAAAATTTTGCGGCACAGTGATTGCGAATCACTGGGTTAGTTTTCCAAAGAAAAACGTTATTTGAGAAATGTACTGTTACATAATATAACTTGTATAATGTAATACATTTTTGCAACAGTTAAGTATCACAGCAAGGGCGATTTCCGCGTAAAAGGTGAATTTCACTAGATATGGAAATATGGCCCCTGTTGGACGCGCTCTAGCGGCGTAACGGTTAGTTTTACAAAAAAAATGTTTTGTGTACTTTAATTTTGTATGGATTTGTCGAAAAAACGCTTCCTTATTGAGATATAGGTCGAAAACTGAAAAAAAAGTGCCAACAAATAAAGTTCCGGGCAAAATTGTTGCCAACAAACTTCAAATATCTGTTCAGCGACCCAAAAAACATGGGGGTGAGAAAATCAAAACTTGTTTCTGAAAATCCTAATATGCCTAGCCTACAGAGAATTCAAAATTTTCTTTATGTCAAACAGTAAATACATTTTTTTTAAATTCACTATTGGCTGTTAACAAATAAGTGATTGAGCATTCTTTTAAATAGACCTGGGCAGAATTTATTTGGAATATATCCGAAATAATTTGAGCACTGTTGCCGAAAGAATTATTTCAGGATTAATGACATAATTATTTCAGAAATAATCATTCTAATAGATCCAAAAGGGAAATAACCATAACAGAAATCCTATTGTTCACTCTAAATTTAGTTTTCGTTTATGCCAATTTTTATTTTAGAAATTTTTTTTTCTTATGTTCCCTTGTATTTCCTGCAATTAGACGGACTTAAGGCATTATATTTACAACTGTTTGAGACACTTGTTAATCTCTGTAGAGGCTGAGTGTGCCCGACAGAAATTCCATTTCTCTTATTCTCCTTTCCGTTTTCTACAATTAAACGGTTTTGAGGCTTTATATTTACTGCTGGTTGAGACACTTTAGTCTCTGTAGAGGCAGAGTGCCCGACAGCAATTTTATTTCTCTAATTCTTCTTTTTGTTTTCCACAATTAGACAGATTTGAGGCTTTATGCTGTTTGAGACACTTTAACTTTTGTAGAGTGTGTCTGAAAGCAATTTAATTTTTCTTATGCACTTTTTCCTTTTTAAATAATTAGAAGGACTTGAACCACACCTAACCCTCCATTACCCCACGAAACTTTGACGGCAGCACTAGATTTGTATCTTGGATTCATTGAATACTTATTCAAGTGACAACTTGCAATAGTTTTAACCTGCTGACACTAACTTATACACACACATAAACACTTTTGCTCCAATTTTGTAAGGTAAACTCCTATTTTCATGTTTATTTCCCTGCACCGAGAGAGAGAGAGTGAGAACATACGTAGCTTAAATAAAAAGTAATAAATTTACAAAAAATAATAGAAATTAAAATAAAATAATACTCAAGTACAGAAAAAGTCAGTCAATAACAAATAAGATCATTCATCATTACTTGAGATATTGGACAGATCTGATGTGATTTTCCCTTTTTAAATAACGGTATTACTATTATAAAATGTAGAAACGGTGATAAGGTATATGTCTTTAATTATAAAATAAATAAAAACTTTTCGTTAAACTTTATTTTCATTTTAGTTTCAAAAAGTGAAATCAATCAATTAGAAAATAGAACACATAATAATGAATGCGATCAATACAAAAAATAATAAAGCTAACATATGTATCAAAATAATGCCTTGCTTAATTGACTTAAACAGAAAATATAACCAAGGGTTCTTTTTAAGACTAATCTTTAAAATGATTTAGCAAAACGGGGCCAAAAACAATGATAATAAACAGCAATAACGAGCATAATAAAAACTTTTAAAGAGATAACAAACTCATATATACATGAACAATGCAGAGAATGTTTTAAGTTATAAAATAAAAGGAATAATGATTTGTTTATCAGCACTGTACTACAAGAAAAATGATCAGAAAATGCAATAAATATGATAGGTATAATATAAGGTGTGTGTGTGTGTGTGTGTGTATATATATATATATATACACATATATATACACATATCAAAAGAAGAAAAAAAACTACAAGTTAAAAAGCGTAAAAATTAACTTGAATAAAATTAATAACCTCTAATAAATAGCTATTGAATGAAACAATTATGATTTTCAAGTATGATGTTTGACACATTATGAAAATATAAGCTTTTTGAGATAGAGTCATGTTCAATATTTAAATGAAATATACAATAAATGGATTATGCATAAATGTACCCACACTTTAGCAGATAACTTAATCGTTTTTACTTACAGTTTAAGTTCATTAGAATTAATGTCAGTCAGATTAAGCTTTGTACAAAAGAAATTTATTCTAAAATGCTACTGAAAGCGTGAAAACGCAGTTGATGTGTGAAGACAGTTCAAGGTTTTATAAAACAATTCATTAAAGCAAACTAACAGGCATTGATGAAACCATTAAATGTTTGCAGATTTTATTTTATTTTGAAAAATAAATAGTTTTTATTTAACACCAACTTCATAATTATTTAAAGTGTGTTTACATTTTCTTTTCATTTGTTTCTTTTTTTGGGGGTGGGGGACACACTGTATATATATGTACATACACAAATCCCCAAAATAACAAAAATTTAAAAGAAGATAGGCAGTAACAAAAAAAAGAAAAGCATTTCTTTTTTTTGTATTTTAATCAACAAATGATCAAGTGCCAAATTTAATAACATTAGCACATGAGAAGGATTTGATTTCAATACTATTGTAATATATTAGAAAAATCAATATTCCTCTTCATCTTGAAACTGGCCCTCAGATAAGTCCTCAGGGGCTGCAAAACCATCCTGAAAAATATTTAGTCAGTTATTCCATATATAATAAATAATAATAGTAATGCAACTTAACTTAATTTTATAATAATTTAAGATGATCAATTTAAAAAGAAGTTAGGTTAGAATAATTTTGAAAACAAGAAAAGAACTAAAAAGACATGCAAGCTCATAATTTATTTTTAAAATAAAAATAAATTATTGAAACAACATTAGGCTATTATGAAAGATTGAAAATTACTTTAACAAATATTTTAAGAATATAACATTAAAATATAATATACAACCAGGAAAGAATAAAACTGGACCTAAAACCAGAAGGTTCAAAATCAATAAGATGAAAGAACCTGAAATCCATAAACCTTACCAGGAAGAGTTGGATAGCTGCTGGACAAACCTATTCTAAAGTGATTGAAAATGTTGTAAATAAAGTGCTAGAACTACCAGCAAGAATACCCAGGTCCTCCTGGTTTGACCAAGAATGCCAGACAATAATGGTACCAAAAACCAGGCCTACAGAAACATGTACTTGCTTTGGTGGTACATATACTAATATTGGAATGATACAGAAACATGATCCAGAGAAAAACAAGAAGCGCAGTTGGGGAATACCATCTAAAGCGAAGAGAAGAAAAATTACTTCACCAGATAAAGAAGAGACAACATAAAATGAAAGAACTGGAGAGAATGGAAATGTTGAAGAGAAAAACTATTATGAGAATTCATACTAGTAGATAACCATTTAATCCAAGACAGCTTGTCTGCTTGAAGAAGGAAGGTGAACTAACTTCTAACTAATAAAATGGAAGTTTTTGATATGTGGGAAAATCATTTCTCTGTACTTTTCAACAACAAAAAGGCTGAGACAAAAAGTGAATCACCTTCAAATTGCACCAGATGTAAGCCTCGAACCTTCAGATGAAGAAGGAATAGGGGAAGCCACCAATAAATTGAAAAATCATAAAGCAGCAGACATTGATGGATTCCCAGCAGGATTACTTAAATATGGGGATAAAGAACTCATTAATGTCCTTCAAGATATAATAACTACCGATACAGATATAATCTGGATAAAAGAAGAGTTGCCAATAGCCAGGAATAAAACTGTTACCCCAATCCATAAAATGGGAGGCAGGATGGTATATAGCAATTATAGGTGTATCTCCTTATTCTGTCTTCTCTCAAGATATTTTCAAATATTGTCTTTCAATGTACGTTACTTTGTGCAGAGGAAAATCTTGGCTCATACCAATGCGGTCTTAGGAAGAGAAAATCAAATGTTGAATAGATTTTCTGTCTTCAAACTATGCTGGAGAGGGGACATAAATATTAATTTCCAAGTCAAATTCAATCTTTTCCAAGTCAAATTAAACCTTTTCCAAATCAAATTAAACTTTTTCCAAGTCAAATTCAACCATTTCCATTTCAAATTAAACCTTTTCCAATTCAAATTCAACCGTTTCCATTTCAAATTAATGTTTCGAATTTTTGTAAATTTTTTATTTTTTTTTAAATAAGGACCATCTCCCCCTCCTACAATATGAAGGTCTATTATTATGCTACCCTAAGTAGAGTTTTTCAAAATACTATCGACTTATGTTACACTAACGGATATTGATTTATTGTACCTATTCCGATTTATTAGGGTCTAGTATTATGCTGTTGTGTGCCTAGTTTTTAAAAATGACCTCCTTTTTATGATTACGCCACCGCGTTTCGACTTATTTAAGTTGAAGAATATAACCAAAACTAAACCCGGTTTAATAGCAAATTTTCATTTAACATGCAATTTACTACATTAAAATATATTGTCTAATATACCTCTGTAGCATATAATATATCTAGAATTTTTTGAACCAGTTCTTCATCTCCTTGGTGTTCTTGACATACTAGTTCAATATCTCTCAGTTTACCAAAATAAAAATCTCGCTCTTTTTCAAGACCATCAACTGTTATTTTTGTATTGGAAAGCTGAAAAATAAAATAATAAAAATTAATTATAGTTTTACATGATTAAATGCACATAATTATTAAACTAATAGTATTTTTTGAGGTTGGTAGAATAATATGATTTGCTCACCAAAGACTTTGAACTTAGTATAGAAGTTGCTAGCTCGCTATAGGTTATGAAATGGTTTGCCATTTCAAATAAACTAATTTTAATACTTATTTACTACAGATTATTTTTTTAATGATTATAAAGTATTTTTTTTTTACTTTATCTAACTTACAAATCAAACATATAAAATGGGGAAGTATTGTGATCATGAAATTTATTTTATGAAAAATAGGTCAAATGCATTGCCATTTGCTCCTAAAATTCAGAATGTATATATAAAATTAAAAAGTTATTTACTATCTTTTTTACTTTCCACATTTTAGGAAATCATCAAATTACTATAATCTTATCATTTTTTACAATGTATAATTGTAATGTATGAATAAATAAATAAACATGAAGTACACCATTATACTTTGACAAGCTTTAAACCCCTTTTAACTACTAATAAATAAAAATTATTAATAAAAATAATGCATATTGTCTAAGACTATTAATAAAAGTATGCATATTGTCTAAAGTAAAAATAAAAATAAAACTTATGAAGTTTTAATCTGAAAAGAATGTTTGAAAGGTTTACCTGGATAGTGGAAAGAATCAATCTTACTATCTTATGGGCTTAGAGTTGGAAGAAAACCTTACTATTCTATAAACCTCAAGTATTGCTACTTTTTTTTTTTAAGATTCAATAAATAATAGAGAAAAAATACAAATAAGAGACATTACTAACTTGTTGACTTAAGTCATCAACAACTTTCTGAACATCGCTTGGATAACGAGTAGCATTAGCTGTAGCAGTATTTGAGCCCTGGTTTGGAGTTCCTGTAGCTAAATTGGTCCTGCTGCTTCCTTTAGAAACTGAACCAACAGACATCATGCTCATTAGAATTAGAAAATTCACAAAATGAAAATTCAGATTATAAAATGAAAACATTAAAATCTATAATTACAGAAGTGCATTTGCATTAACATATACACACACAATAGTCTTAACAGCATGAAAATCAACATACTAATTAATATCACATGCACATGCTTAAAAAAAATTAACAGCCAATAATGAAAATAAACTATTAACTAAAATAATTCTGAACATAAATATTGGTATGATCTATGAAAAACAATGGAATGAACAAAAAAATGAGAGTTTTAGTCAACTAAAATAAAGTAAGTTGTAAACAATAATTTTAGGAGCAAACATTGATCAGAACAGTACTAGATTATTTCCAGACTAAGTCGTTACTAACACATAGACAGCCTAGAATACTTTTCAGGATTGCGGTTTGAAAAGTCCATTTAATTTAACCATATTAGAAATAGAACGTGAAGAAGCCTCCTTCAGATCAGAGCGAGTAGAAATATTGAGGAAGAGCTTTTAAGGTACAAAATAGATGTAGCAGCACTCAAGGAAATCTACTGGAAGAATAACGAGCTGGTTAACCTAAAAGACTACCTTCTTATTGACAGTGGACATAAACGGAACCAAGTTGGGACAGGTTTATGATAAATAATAAAATAAAACACTCCCTGCTGAAATACATACCCATCAACCCACATATATGTGCAATAAGACTAAGGGAACTGTTCTTCAATACTTTCATCGTCAGTGTGCATGCCCCTATTGAAGATGAGACGACGAAACGAAGGATGCATTTTAGGACGCTATAGAAAGAATGTACGATGCTTTACCCACCTATGATATGAAGCTTCACACTAGAAGTACAGCCAAGGAGTATAGTGACAATAGAAAGGAAGCAAAGAAAATCTGCAGGCAGGAGAAAAGAATCTGGGAAAGGAAAAATTCGAGGACCATAATTCCTGGGGTTTCTTTGGAGGTGTGAGATTCAAGAAGGTGGCTTTAAACCTTGTCTCAACTTTTGTAAGAATAAAGATGAACACTTAGTTATGGATAAGGAAGAAGTTGTCAGCAGATGGGCAGAATATTTCAGGGAGATATTGAATAAGGATCACGTCATTGATTATAGTGGACCACTAGAAGCTGACCTTGACAGGATCCTGAGCCCACAACCTGGGAAACTAGATGAGGATGACATCCCACCGGACAGGGAGAAAATCATGGAGATTGTGAGCAATCTAAAGATGCATAAAGCCCCCGGGACAGATGGGATTGAAGCGGAAATGCTGAAATACGGTGAGGATGAAGTATGAGACCACCTCCACCAGCTCATATATGATACCTGGTCAGAAGAAAAATTCCCTGACGACTGGAAAGTAGCGGTTATCTATTGCATATATAAGAAAGGCAAAAAATTCTGCTACTCTGACTACGGAGAGATTTCTCAGTTTAATGTGGCCTGCAAGGTATTGTTTACTGTCTTTAACCGGAGACTAACAGCTTACATGGAAAGAGAAGTCGGGGAGTACCAATGCAGTTCAAGGCAAGGAAGGTCCAGAATAGACCAAATATTCAGTGTGTCAAGTGTTGGAGAAGTCTTTGGAATAAGATGTTGATATGCATCACCCTTTCAAACAGATCCTATATCCCTGGGTGTTTCAAGGTAACTGACCAGGCCAGTAAGAATAACAATGAGGGATACAAGATGTTGAGTAAAGCTGCAGTGGATACTATCTAAGGAGTTCCAGACAATGGCAGGAATAGCAAGGAGATACAAAGGCAACCATGCACTTCCATATGAGCTTGGAAAAAGCTGTACGTGCCATAAGAACAAACTCAGGAGACACAATCTTAAATTGCCTCACACAGCACTTGCATTTGCAGACCATGTGGAGTTTGTGGTCAGATCCCTTCCAGCACTGGCAGGAGCTCTAGAGGAGTTTGAGAGGTTTGTGCATAAATAAAAAGAAGACTGCCTACATGAAGAGTAGGAGATGAAATCTCTTGCAGAACAAGGAAATCCTAAATATCGGATCCCATAATTTCTCAGAATGCAAGGAGTTCAAGTACCTTGGCTCCTTAATAACAGATGGTAACAATATTAAGACTGAAATTGGTGCCACAATAGCTGTGGGAAACCGATGCTATTTCGCCTGTCAGCAGGTACTTAAATTCCGTGGTATGTCAAGGAAGTAGTGTATAAGAACATGGTTCACCCTGTAGTAACATATGGCAGCAAAACATGGACAATGACGGCTTAGCATTAAAGAATGCTGGGAGTCTGGGAGAGGAAGATCCTGCACAATATATGGACCTTAGTGTGAGAGAATAGTCTGGAAATCGAGGTACAACTGGGAGCTTGCTGCACTATATGGAGAGGCAGACATTGTTATTTTATTCAAGGCGTACCATATAAGATAGCTGGGCTATGTGGAGAGGATGGCGGAGAGAACGGTGCATAGGAAAGTACTGTATGGACAACATGGAGGAGGAAGGAGAGGCAGGCCACCACTATGGTGGATAGATGACGTAGAGGCGGATTAGAGACGACTTGCCAGGCGGTGGAGAGCTGCCACAGCAGATTGAAAAAAGTGGTGGAGAATTGTGAACGAGCCCCGAGTCTCTCCAGACCGTAGCACTGAGGAAGAAATAAAAAATTTCAAACAAAATGCTGTCCTGAACATACAGGTGAGCAGTCAACTATATAAACCAAAATTTATTAAATGTTTACACCAATATTCTATCAATCTATCAAACATTAATTTATAATTCGAATACGGGCTTAACGGCAGCTGTAAATAAATAATCAGGCTAAAAGATCAATTTTATATTAGCGCAAAATACTGATTAATTGCCCTAACTTTTCTTTCTCTTAATTATTTTTCTCACTAGCAATTTAATAATTTTTAAAACTGTAGTAAAACCCGTCTTATTATGAACTCGGATACAACAAACTCCTCATTAAAGTGAATAAACATCAAATCCCCTAGAAAAATCCATTGGTTTTCATTGTAGCATCTTCGTTTTAACAAACTTATTTTGTTATTATGAACCATGAATTACATTTGGACCTCCACGCTGAGAGGCATAAAGGAGGAAGAAAAATTACTTTTGGACCTCATAATAACTTTACTAGCACCATTACAAAAAACTTAATTTAACGTTAATCATCACATCAAAACAGGGGTCTCTGAGCTCTTAGGTTGTTTATGTTGCTATTTCATCATGTCTCTTGAACTCAATGAATAATAATTGAATCCCAATCAATTTATATAAACTGCCTGGATAATAGCTTAATGAAAATGGTTCGTTGTTTACTTAAACATTCAGAATGTTTTTTAAATCTCCTCCATTCTAGCTTGAATTCTTTTCCCACAAGCTTTCCCTCCTTACGTAATGTGTACTTCCCGAAAATTTTCAGTTCAGTTTCACATTTTCATTTTCATCTACATTATTAATTTACAATTTCCAACCCTCTACTATATAAAAAACTTTGTTATACAGAACTGATGATTTTATGGTCCCCTTGATTGATGGTTTACTGTGAAACAACATTAACTTATAAAAAAAAAAAGTTATCTTTATAGTAAAACTAAAATCTAAAAATAAATCAACAATTTTTGTGCACTATAATTTAAGATAGATACTGAAAAGTAAATTGATTGATGATTGCACACACTAACACAAAACATGACATTTATTTATGTGCCACCATCCCCTGCCTTCCATCCATTGGTCCATAAATTAAGGCTGCTCAGAGCCAAAAGGCCAACGAGGACTTACATTTTTTTCCGCTAAAACAGACAGTCCACCGATTAAATCTCAATGGGACTACTGGACTACTAAAAAACCACACCATGACTTCCCATTAAATTACACAGTAAAGTAGGGTAAATTACACAGTAAAGTAGTATCACTTTTATGCCCATCAGTGTGAGTTGCCTTCAGTAGGCTGAAGTGCCTCACTTGCCAGAGAGGGGAGGGAATATTTATTTAAAATCAATTATTAAACTATTACAAGTGGAATCCTGGGACTAAGATTCATACCTAAAACCTTTCTGGATTGTAGGCAAGAGAATTTCTGCATGCGCTTTAACTAGCTCGGCCACACCAGCCCCATATATAAATAAACCAAATAAAATTTTCCCCTGATATTTTAAATTTGATTGATTTAAATTTTGTTATTAATAAATATAAAATTAATAGCTTTTATAATGTCTATTAACTTAAAGACAATTTTTAAATTAATTATTATTGGCGCAGCACCTCTGGGAAATGTTTGCGGCACCCAGTTTCAGAAACTTAGTTGTAGATCATAAACTAAAATATTAAAAGAACCTGATTTCATTTTTCCATCAGTAATAAAAAAAAGTAAATAAGGAAATATCAACATGTGTTACATAAAAATTTAAATCTGTGGTCTGTAAATTGAAACCTACACGAAATTTACGAAACAGAAAAGAAATTTTGTTTATCTTTAAGTGATAGCAATATTTGGATTAAAATCTCTTTACGATAGTATAATATAAAAATAAAGTTCAAATATTACAGCTGAATTGAGAGAACCTGATGAATTCTGTATTCATTACAATGGTCTGAGGCAATATAACCCTCATACACAATATGAAACCATGTTCTTCAAACGAACTAGAACAATAACGTCAACAAGATTTTTAGAGTGTTTTGTTACAAATATTTACTTAAGGACAGGTATACTGATAATAGTTTACACATGGACATTTAACAGCAAATATCATTAGGCCCACAATGAAAATTTATTGAAGAAATAAAATTGCCTCACAACAGATCTAACTTTTTATGAAATGAACAAATAATAAAATAAAAAAGTTAAAATAATCCTTATGGCAAATAAGGTTATGCATAGTTAAGTACTAAATGATAAAGCAAATAATTAAAACCAATCATAGTTAAATTTAAGGGTTATATTGCTTTAGAGACACCTAAGAAGTTTAAATTTAAAGTTATGAAAATAACATGTTTAAAATAAATAATATAATTTCTCATTACTTGTCAAGATACCTGTATAAAAATCTAAGTGATAATATTAAAAGTTATAATGAATATTTTATAAAGGAAATAAAATATGTAATACAAATTAAAGCTATCAAAATAATTAAAAGACAATGGCAAGAAAGTTTAACCACATGTAGGAAAAAAATCACTATAAAATAAAAATAATATCATGCCCCAATAAATGACAAACCATAGAGGACTAACGTTAAATGAATTGATCCACTTAATGTGGATAAAAAAAAACATTAACTATTAATGATTTTATTTATTCCAAATTTGACTTATAACAAAATTTTAAAACTAGGAAATAATAACTTTTGATTGTATATTACCAGGCTTTGAATTACTTGATTTAATAGTTGAACTTGGAAATGCAGATTCAGTATGTTTTAAAGGATAAACCTTCACAGCAGGAACTGACAGACTTTTTGCCATAGGAATACTCAAACGAGGTTTCAGATTACTTCCGGAAGCATTCCCTAATTTTTCCCCTCCTCTAGCAGTGAGAGCACAGTATTGCTGACCAGAATAGTTAGCATCAAAAAACTTTTTAAACCATTGCAGAAATTCAAAATTGTCTTGAAACCTTCCTTTGATCAGCTTATCAATTGGTACTATCTGAAAAGACCATGCAACTCAAAATAACAAATTTAAATAAAAAAAAAAAAAAAATAGAAAATAAAGACAAATAAAAGAGGTGGAAAATAAAATAAATAAATAAACACTCAAATAACTAATAAAATTATAGACATTCAAGAGAAATTATCACAAATTTAAACTTTAAAATAAGTAATATACATTGTATAAAGTTTGCTGAGGCACTGCAAAAATTATTGAGGTTACCAGAGTGGGAGACTCAAGATTTATTTCCTGGAGCTATTGAAAAATAAATATTAACTTGCTGAAGAGGGAATCGAACCCAGAATATTCAGAACAGGGCATTCTGGTACCAACATCCCAACATGCTCAGCCATCACCCACTCCGTTAACTAACTAAACTGTGAGAGAATGAACTAGCACGAATAATAAATTATGATTTGTGTATTATTGCATTCACAGGTTCATAAAACGAGAGGTCATCGCAGTCAAGTCATCAAATTACAGCTCTTATATTACATTAAATTAATATATACAACTAGCTTGTGATAATTACATAAAAACAATTTATACAGGGAAAAAATGATAAAAGAAAAGTTAAACATCTAAATCGAAAGACTTTTGGATAGAAATGAGTATTAAAAACTTGTTTTAAATTTCATGTGTAAATTTAAAGGAAACAGGAAATGTAAAGTTAGCAAACTTTAAAAAACAAAATATTTTCAAATTAAGTAACTAAAATAAGTAATTTAGGAAATCTGCAAATAATGCAAGTGGAAAACAACATCTGCCTCCTAATTAAAATAATAACTGTTTTATAATGCCTAATATAATAGAACCAATAGAGCTCCTTTAATTTTTCAATTAAGGAGCTAAACTAGTGATACTACAACTACTGTTCAACTAATAAACTAAGTTTTGAATAGTACAGAAACAAAAGAAGCTTTTAGAAGAGTATATATCAAGTTCATACAGAAAAAAATATATATTTTTTTTTTTTTTTTTATTTCAATGGAATTTACAACTGTATTACATAGAGAATACAATAAGTAAATGAGAAATTTGTAACATGGCATGTACAACATGAAGAGAAACTACCCATTGGTAGAACTCAAATTAAAGTTCTATATTAGAAGATCCCGAGGCCATCTTCTTTTCAGACGCCTCGGAGGGTTATCAGGGATCGAGGAGGAAGCAAGGTTTGAAACGAGAGGATTCGGATGATTCTGCAGTTATGGAAGGAAAGATATCTGGATTGGGCCAGATCGGAAACATATGGAACATTAAGGTCTTTATGGATGATTTTATTTGTGACAAAGTAAGGAGCGTTGAGGATTTTACGAAGGATTTTGGATTGTAAGGATTGGATACGAGAGGAATTCGATGGTTTAGTGGAGCCCCAAAGCTCAATTCCGTAAGTCCAAATAGGTCTTATTATTGTCATATATAAGAGTCGTTTATAATTGATTGAAAGCTTAGATCGTTTGTCTAGTAAGTGCTGCAGTAGTCGAAAACGTCGGGCGGTTTCTAGTCGTTTCAGTCTGGTATGGGGGTTCCAAGTGAGTCGTTTGTCAAGGTGGAGTCCTAAGTAGCGGATTTGCTCAACAGGAATAAGTGGAGTATTATTGAAGGATACTGTAGGACAAGAGGTCATAGGTTTACGACGGAGGGTAAAAGTGATTTGATGGGATTTGTTGGAATTTATTTTTATTCTCCAATTTTTACACCATTCTTCAAGGCTTGTGATATGTGATTGAAGAGTTTGGGATGCAATTAAAGGATCGTTATTAACTGATAGGATACACGTGTCATCGGCATAGGTGGTGATGACAGTGTTGGATTGGGTTGGGATGTCAGCTGTATAAACTGTGTAAAGGATAGGACCTAGGATACTACCTTGAGGAACACCGGAAAAAAAAAAAAAAAAAAAAAAAAAAAAAAAAAAAAAAAAAAATATATAAATGCATTTTAAAATTAGCAAGAAAAAGGTTAGTACAAATAAAAGAAATGAACAACTGCAATTGAACAATTTATTTTAATAAACTTGAGTGTGGGTGATCCACTATCATTAGTCTGCAATAAGACCCTCGAATGTCTCGTTAAAGAAAATATATGGTACTAATTTTTATCATAGAGCATAAAAATAAATCTGTAGCACTTGCCTAGGAATAGTCGAAACTAAGAGGAAATATGGTAGTCTACCAGATGGATTTCTTCATTTTTTTTTTTAAACCATTTAGCTATTTTTTATTTAAATATAGATTCACCCTAATGAGGATGAATAGACCCTGCTTCAAAACAAGAGACACCATCAATGAAATCTAAGTCTACATGTGTTAGGTAAATGCAATAAAACATGGATATTGTCTACCTACTTAAAATACCAACTATGGCATTAGTTACAAGCCTAAAATGAGTATAGTAGTTATAATTTTTAAACAAGTCCATATTTATAATTATATTAAATGGCTAAAGTATATAACACTATTAGGCTTAGTTTTCTTATTAATAAAACAAACTACTCTATTTGCATTATTTATACTGCTCAACAAGGACTCCGAGTTGTTGATCATATTTCCTCAGGCCTATAAAACAAGGAATACTCTTTGGGTACATTGCACAGGCATTTGACTGGGTATGGCACGCTGGATTGCTTTTCAAGCTTAAAATCCATTTACCTCAGTCCTTGTACCTAGTCTTCCAATCCTATCTCTCTAATCGCTCCTTTTGAGTTCGCTGTGGAACAGATATTTTCCAATATCTATCCCATTAAAGCCAGTATTCCCCAAGGCAGCGTCTTAGGTCCCGTGCTTCACATCCTCCTAACTGCTGACATCCCTGTTCATCCTGATACCTTCCTTGCAATATTCACTGATGACACCGCTATCTTATCATCCAACTCTGATCCCGAAATAGCATCCTTAAATCTGCAAAGGCACCTCTCCTTGAATGAGCACTGGTGTAATAACTGGTGCATTAAAGTTAATGAATCCAAATGCCAACATATTACTTTTACACTCTGATGCAATTCCTATCCACCAGTACACTTTAATTCCATCCAGCTTCCTTTCTCAGACACAGTCCGGTATCTTGGCTTTCATTTAGACCAAAGAATAACATGGAACCCACATACTAGACTCAAAAGACAAGAACTCAACTGACAATACGGCCAACTATACAGACTACTAAACAGAAAATGTAAACTTTCTCAAGTAACTAATTGAAAAAAAGTTACTTGTCTACAAGACAATCCTGAAACCTATAGGGACAAACGGACTTGAACTGTGTGGGACAGCAAAATTTTCTAACATCAAACGCATCCAATCCTTTCAGTCCAAAGTCCTTTGAACAATAGTTGATGCTCCATTCTATGTAACTAACAAAACCCTACACCATAACCTTAATATCCCATTTTTACTAGACCTTATCCCAGAAAAATTCTCCAAATTTCACCAGAACCTTACCTATCATCCAAATCGTCTTGCACAATCACTATCCAGCACCACCCATCCTTATAATCCTCCTCATAGGTTGAAGCAGCAGTGGCCCACAGACTTTTGTGAATAAGCATATATTGGAGTTTTGGCAATGGCCAGACCCTCCACTTAAGCCAAGCATGTGTGATTATAGCGCCTCTCCTCAGCCTTTACTGGTGCTTAATACCAGTAATGTGGCTGAGTGCGAGGTGCTGGGATCTCCTAGAGTCCTGCCTTATCTTCCACGAGTGGGGAGAAAGGCTTGGCTCTGAGTTCTCCTGAGTGAATGGATTCTGTAAATACTGTACAGTAGGTCTGTGTTTTAGTTGTTATTTTGATTAGTTTAGTTATTTTGTTTATATACGTTTACTTTTAGTATTATTATTTCCTGTATTATTTATTGTAAATAGAGTGTGAATGTGCTCTCTGAACACCATTATAAATGTCCTAAATTGTGACACATTGAAATATTTCTGAATAAATAAACAAAAAAAAAAATTTGCATTATTAGAATAATGTACCAAGAAGAAACAGAAATAATTGATTAAGAAAATATAAAGGTACTGAGCTACTAAATCAAAACACTAAATTAATAGCCATGGTAGTCGAGTGTTGAGCGTCAATTAAGCAACCTCCAGTTGATCCAAATCAGCCTGCCTAAGCAGGTTGAAATATACTTTGTGATGAACCCAGCAGAGAATGAATCTTGAACTTCTGGCTAGAAAAGTTCTTTAAGGGCAGGATAAACTGTTCTTCAGGCACTAGATGAAGTGCATAAGAATGATAAATCCCAAATAAATCAGTTCAACAAAGAATAAATTTGAGGACTAGCTAACACTATTATACTGAGAAAAAATCTGGTGCGTGCACGCATCATACAACTTTCACTTACCACCCTCTTCTAACCAGAAATAAGTATTTTCAGACAAAGCGAAGCAAAAGTAAAAATAATAGACTCTATATTTATTTATATTTCATTGTGGATATTTTTATTTGTATAAGTACCCTCATATATACAAATTTTAATATTTATATGTCTGTAGTCTACACAATTAAATATTAAATAATAACAGTAGCATTTATGAAAGCCACATATGTATATTTTTTTATTTTTTTTTTTTGCACTTTCATTTATTTATCCGCACCTGTCAATTACAACTATCGACAATCAGTAGATGTGCTGGCGTAGTAATGAGAGAAAAAAATAAAATATAAAAAGGCTTGATAGGCATGATCCCTTCCATAGCTTTTATTTACTAAAACATTATTTAAGTAGATCCCTCATCCAGACCCTTTCCAGTTGTCTTCTGGAGTTCTCGGGCATACTAGTTGTGGTCATTTCTTTTACCAGCTGGTTGGAGTGCCCATTTAACAAGTTATGAAATCGTTGGTAGTACGTTTGTATGTGTCATTGACTGTCAGAACATGTAAGTCGGTGTGTAAAAAGTCGTTGTTTATGTACCATGGAGCTTGAGTGATTAGTCGTAGTATCTTAGACTGAAAAGTTTGAAGTTTTTTTATGTTTGTTGTTTTGCAATTCCGTAT